AAGAATTGGGTAAACAAGTTTGAATTTATTCAGAATTTTCGGTAATCTACACAGGGTTATAAGTATGCATGCAGACACAAATATATTTCTACACTATCATTTAAATACTTCCATAAGTAGGGCTAAAGCCAAGGCATATTAGAGTAACTTCTTGTTATGTAAAAGTGTGAAAGCGCATTAAGTTAATTGCATTGGATGCCAAAATGTCAAAGCAAAAATGTCTGCTGCTGTATTTTAAGAAAACATATAAATTTTTAGTCAAAACAGTGAAATTTGTTTTATATGACAAAATAATATATAGTCCAAAATAAGTATTTGGCTTGCTATTTTCCGCCAGCAAAGTGTGCAGTTGCCAATTTGGAAGTGTGTCATGGGATTCAAGTCAAAGCCCTGGGACATTTTTCTTTGTATCTCTGGTATATGGAATATGTTTGTGGAAACAAATGACACCTGATCTTTCAGCTGAGCTTCTCTGCACTTACACTTGCTTTCAACTGACATATTCTAATATAATTTATATTTAAGTCACTTAATCTTATAAGCAGTGAACCCGTGATGGAAGCTAGGGGATAATGAACTATTGCTAATTGCTAATAAGAGACTGCAAGAAGCATTCCTTTAATCTGAAGTTCATAGAGATGTCCCCAGTAGAGTGCCGTGAAGTATAGTTTATTGCTTTAACAACTGGCATGTTCCACGAGGATTCATGTGAATTTGTTAGAGGAGAATATTTCATTATTTCATTAATATATTTCAATATATTAGCTTCTTTTAGCCACCAAACATCTGCTTTACCAACAGTATGGTTTAAAAACCAGTGCACTTCACATGCATCAGTGTCAGTAACCCAAGTTCCAGCTTCCATTAGCCCTTGTGAAGCAGGTGTAGTTTCCGGGATATGGTTCTACATCACGAGGGACCTGCAGGAAACAGATAGTGGTGAGTGTGACAATTAGTATCATAAGTGATTGAAGAGTTTTGGAACGGCAGTAAAACATCTCAGAACTGATGGACTATTATTACTGTCCAGTTTAAAAGGCACCCTCCTAAGCAATTGGAGACTTTAGACTGTGGGGCTGTCCAAAACATTCAGTCTAGCCATACATTTTTGTCTGATCATCATGTGGCCATTGTAGCCTTACTGCTTGGAGGTCCTGCACTAACCTCCATCTTTGTGATAGGGATGCTTTCTTTACAGGAAACAGGTGTATTACACATGGAATCTGGGCACTCTTTTACCCCTGCCTTATTTAAATCTTCTGCTTCTTTTTTTACTGGGTACTTTCTTTGGTGAGACCTATAAAATGATTTAGGGGGTATTTTTACTGGTTCTATTCCTTTAATATGTCCAACATCCGTGGACCCCTTTGACAACAATGTGTCTGGAATGTCTTTGTGTGGTTTCTCCTCTTCTGTTGTAAGAAAACCATGGATACCTGTCACTATCCCCGGTCATCTAGATGTATTTCTTTTCTTATTTTTGTGCTCCAGTTTAACCTGGTAACATATGCTTTCAAAGAGGGAGAGTACTGTACGCCTGGGTGTCTCTTTTCTTCAGCCCAATCCCTTGTTTCCTCAAATCTTGTTACAAAGACTTCTAAATCCTGCCACCTCTCAGTTTTCCTTTTCGCTAATGACACGTTAGGAGCTTCAAATCCTCTGTACTGGCCTTTTTCTTCAGGGCCTAATTTACAGGCCACCACTATGCTCCCTTCCAATATAAAGCTGTGAGGAATAAAGGGGCACTTTGGGTTTGAAGAAGTTTCTGCTCATAAGCTGCATCTGAGCCCGGGTCGTCTTTGTAAGACATGGTGCAGTGTATGCCTATTGTGTTTTGGATGTCTGTGTAAGGTCCTGCTCTGCGTCGTGTCATGTCATGCAACTGTGGTGTCACACTGCTGGGGCCACTTGGTACTATGTCCAAACTATACCAGTACCTGGGTGTTTTTGCTGAGAAATGTACAAATGTATCTGTACCATTTTTGTTCATCCTGTCCACCTTCATTCCATTAACCCAGGTAATACAGAGTTCACCTGAGCAACTGGTCCGTGGTCCGGTGGATTTTGTTGTCACTGTGAGATTTTCCCCTTTGTCTCAACTGGAGACACTGGTCAGTCACACACAAACCATTTTAAATAGCTAGTTTTTTTTCCAATTTATTTTTATTTTATGGTTATTTATTATTATTATTATTAACATGCACAAGCCCTCAAGTGCCTGACTCCTAGTAATAGGCCTACTTTATTTTCCACTCGAGGTTCCGTGTTAGTGGCCCAGACCGCTTGCTCCCAATTCAAGTTGCTCCTCTGGTTCATGGATCTTGTCACACTTCTAGTTGCCTCTGCTCCCGGCCTCTATGTCCTCAAACGGTGTTTTTAACAACACTGGGGGGGGAGATCTTTGATTGTAAGGAATCCCAGACACCCCTGTGCTTGGTCTCGGTCGCGTTCCCGAGGCGAGTGGGGTAGATGGATCTGACTCGAAGGACCAAACTGTCAGAATAAAACTAAACAAAAATAAGGAAAAGTCAAGAACTGGAGCGTTTGTTCTTGCAAGGGACCAAAAGCATCGCTTTTGCATCGCACAAGGTTTCATGCAAGGGGTCGAAGGGGGAAGTCCCCAGTGAGCTTTTTATTAAACTTTGTTAATCCGACCCTCCTTTGCCTTAAGACTGTCACACAATAACATTTTTCCTTCTACAGGCTTCTCACGAGGACAGTTATGAGTGTGTGTACTGTAATGAGCAGATAACTTTAAAAAAAAAAAAAACTGGGCATACTTCCAATCACTAAGCGCACTGAGTTTATCCTTCAGTATCATACAGCTCATACTAATTAGAAAACACTGCATAGGATATTTTTTCCAAAATGGAGCCTCAATTTATATGAACAAATTGGAGTCTATTAGACAGATATGATTCAAACCACTGCAGCGCAGTGCCTTTAATACCCACAGCATTCTCTAATCACTGTAATAAAATGTTATGGTTAACAGTATCAAATGCTGCACTGAGGTCAATGACAAGCACTGAGATGAGTCCACTGTCAGAGGCAATAAGAAGATCATTTGAAACCTTCACTAAGGCTGTTTCTGTGCTGTGATGGGCTCTGAAACCTGACTGAAACTCTTCAGATAAACCATTCCTCTGCAGATGATCTGTTAGCTGTTTGACAACTACTCTTTCAAGGATTTTTGAGATAAAAAGAAAGTTGGAAATAGGCCTTACCTAGGATGACTACTGCCAGCTTGAAGGGATGTGGTACATAGCTGGTAAATAGATTTAGGCTCATCATATTTAAGATTGAAACATTGACACACATTAATGGCAGGAGGAATGGGGTCTAAAAGACACGTTGATGGTTTGGAGGAAGTAATTACTGAAGTTAACTCGGAAAGATCAATTGGAGAAAAAGACTCCATCAATGGTACTGAAGGTATCTGTAGATAACGTTACATATGTGAGATGATTATGAGTAGTTTTTTTCCTAACGGTTAAAATTTAATTTGTGAAGAAGTTCATGAAGTCATTACTAGTGAACGTTAAAGGAATGGTTGGCTTAACAGTGCTCTGACTTTTTGTCAGCCTGGCTACAGCACTGAAGAGAAACATAAGGTGGTTTCTATTTCCTTCAATCCGTGATAATAGTAAGATGTCCTAGTTTTATGAAGGGCTCTTTTTTTTTTACATGCAGTGGGCATTGAGTCAAACCTTCTCTTGGTTGGTTCTAAAACATTTTTTAAACAACAATGCATTGTGTAATGAATTAGCTTTCCCAGACTGTCACCACCTCTCTGTCCCTCTTACTTTGGACTGATGTTAGCACCATTATTTTCAAAATAATTTCCAACAGCTACTTTCCAGATAGTTCTGTGAAACTCTCTTGCAGGGCAGGTTTAAAAAAACAAACAAAAGTACATTAAATGTTTTGGATGCCATTGAAATTTACTCCATATGCTGCAGTATAATTTAATTGCCTTTTTATAATATATACTGACTCCGCTTTATCTTCTCAGGTATTGGATATGCAACCCAGGTAGTGATTGCATATGCTGCTGTTTCATACATTGTGATCCAGGCATGGGCTTTCTTCTATCTCTTTTCATCCTTCAGTGCTGAGATTCCATGGGCTAGCTGCAGGAATTCCTGGAATACAGGTAGCTATTCAAAGCGAAGGAAGATTTCACTGTGGTCATTCTTTATTTCAGAGTTATTGACATGATGATCTAGATGATTTGGGGAATCTCACATGACAGTGAGGTCATTTTGTGCTTGACAAATGTGTAGTCTCTAATATCTCTTTTATCAAACATAGATTAAACTTTGTTGACATGGCTCTGCTTTTTTCTTTGTCAGAGTCTTGTTTTGAATTTGATAAAGCAAATGCGTCATCCAACTGGACAGCAGCTGCAAACGCAACAACACCAGCAACAGAGTTCTGGGAGTAAGTGTAAATGACATGTGTCTGACCTCGGTAGATGGATTTACCTCTGGAGCTTTTGCCAAACACTGAAGCCATCAGTCCCTAAATTTCAACAACATATATTTGAGTTATTGGAAAGCAGCATTTCCATACTGGTTAACCAATAGCTGCTCATTATTTCTCAATAGTTATCAGAGTAAGCAATCTGTATACACATGGTAACCACACTACATAATCAGTCCAAATACAATTTCCTGATTGTTAATCTGGAACATCCATCTTTTTAGCTCTCATTGTCTTTAGATGTGTTCTTGTAATCTGGTACAGATGTAAGATCCTTTTTGGGATGGATGCTGATAATTGGCGATAATACCATCAAGTCATTTTTGTGTTGGATTATTCAGATACTGATTAGGTCACATCGTGTTTAGTCATAACACGCAGCTGTACACAGCTGTACGCTCATCTGGCCCAGTCTCGATTCTCAGTGTTGATAAAAATTACGAACTCACCAAATATCAAATTATGTAACTGCTTGAAATATCACTTTGTACCACATACAGCATACCACCTTTGTGCTGTTGGATGATTTTAATCATGATACTGTTGGTCACGATTATGGAAGGAGTGGTCCTATTGATATAGTCAATATTAGGAAGGTATGATTGGTGCCTTCTTATCACCATGTATGTCATAAATATACTGACATCAGTAATGTGATCAGTGGCATGCTGATACTTTTGTGGCCAAGATTACTACTAATCATATACTCACAACAGTCCTGAACTTAAACACTTGGTGCTGAATGAGTTTAAGTTGCCCCTGATATGACTGGTTACAGCCAACTAGTGACTTCACACATTAAAATGCAGCAAATCTCTATGTATCAGTTTGTTCACAAACTCCTCTTACATGGTCATACGTTATGCAACCAAACTTGGCTGCTAAAAGTTCTTATCTATTTTACATATTATGATTCATCATGTTGCCTAGTAACCACCAAACAACACAATGCAAAATGAGTCATTTACAGTGATTATAACACCTTATCATTTTAACTCCATGACAGTAACATGTCATTTACTGAATATAATAAAAGTATAATCATTTCTGATTCCTTTTCATCTGTGGTGTTTACTGTTGCACTGTATCATTTGATACATTAATTGATTAAATCAAGGTTCCAGTATTTGGGATTTTACAGTATTGTGCAAATGTCTTGAGCCACCCCTCATTGTTTATATTTTTCCAAGTTGCCAGATTTTATTGTAGTTTATTTATTTATTTTTTTTAAGTGCTCAATAGTTTTGAAAGTGAAAGTCTGAAAGTCTTTCGAAGTGTTTCTTTGTTGCTTCTTTGTTGCTGTGTTACTAACTACTAAACACTGTCATCAATCATTTAGGTGTAGAAAAAGCACCTAACTCTGAAATGATATCTTTAGGCACTTTGTGACTAGCAGCCTGTCACAAAAATACACTTTTGTTGGAATTAGACAAGTGGATAAAAGAAGACGCATCAGAACTAAAAGACTATCTGTAGAATTGCATTCTAAATAAATACCTTGAACATATTTTAGGTAATGAGATTTGAATCCACTGAATTTGTTGAAATTATGTGCATTTTATATCTATATAGATAAATAAGGGAGGTTAGTGTCTGGCTGATGGGCAACTACATAACTGACTTTCTGGTTTATTGTAAATAAATATTGTAACATTTGCATTGTGTCAACTCTGTTATCACTTATAGTAGTTGTGAAAAAAATTATTTTGCACCCAAATGGCTTTCGTTTTAACAAATAATATGGGTTTCTTTTCAGGAGAAGAGTACTGGGTATATCTCAAGGGATTGAGGAGATTGGTAGCCTGAGGTGGGATTTGGCCTTGTGTCTCTTACTGGCATGGATCATTTGTTACTTCTGTGTTTGGAAAGGAGTGAAGTCCACTGGAAAGGTAGAGAAACATCTTTAAAATATGATTTATTAGTCTACATTTAGAAAATAAGTTCTGTAAACACCACCGTTTATACATCTACTATCACATCTGCGGTACCTTTTGAAGTAATATTGCAAGAATACATTTGTATTGGAAAATACCAGGATTGTTTTAATTGGTCACTGAAAAGAAAATTATCAGAGTCACATCCAAGGTCTGGTTGCTGAAAGTTTAATCGTCTCATATAAATTTGTTGGTGGGAACATATACTTCAATCAAAAGAACCTTCATAGGACCTTAGAAGGACAATACAGAAATACATACAAGCTGGAGTTTATCAGGATGTAACAAGGCAAAAGTTCAGGACTGTTGGTACTCTCCCTGGGAGTGGCTTCCTGTGTAAATTACACTACTGCAGTAGTGTAATCTACACATCTCTTTTAGAATTGCACATGTGCAATTCTAAAAGAGATGAGTAAGAACCTAAGGTAACAGCAACCCCCTCTTAAGTTTCAAAGATCACATGGTTCCAGTATTGCTTAATGTTCTGTGAACAGCTCAAACTAAATCTGAACTCTTTGGGAGGAGGCACAGGGATGTATTTGGAGGAAGAGGAGTTACACCTAAATGCAGACAGCAGTCATGTCTCATTTTGCAAGCAAAAAAAGAGAGACAATACTATGGCACAAATGAGGAATGTATTGTCTGAAATATGTTTAGATGGAAAAAAAAATGTTTTCTTACACCAAAGAACATCAAACTTTACACTGTCCCTGTGATGTCTGCTTTGAACCATGCATTTCCTTCTTGTTGACAGGTAGTTTACTTTACGGCCACTTTTCCCTATGTGATGTTGGTGGTTCTGTTAGCTCGTGGACTCACTTTACCAGGAGCCATAAACGGCTTAGCTTTTTACCTGTATCCTGACCCCACAAGGTTGGTGGACCCTCAAGTAAGTAATAAGATCAAAACAATGTGTCAATACCAAGAAAAGCTGCAAGCTTGCACACTACCCACGGAAGCCTAAACACTAAAATATCTACATTTTACACAATGAATATCATCATTTAGTGATGAGTAAACTAATATCTGTGTGTTGGCATCAGGTTTGGATGGACGCGGGTGCACAAGTCCTTTTCTCCTTTGGGATTTGTCAGGGGAGTTTGACGGCTCTGGGCAGTTACAATAAGTATAACAATGATTGTTACAAGTGAGTACGCTCCCCCGCCCATGTTCTTAAATTTTAAAAAAAAATGCTCAAAAATTCTAGTAATCTTATTGTTATGACAAGATAAAACTGCACTAAACAGATGTTTTCAACGTTATTTAATCCCTGGCCACTTAGTTTTAAAATAGCCAGTAGGGAGCACCAAAGTGATACTTTCATAAAACGGCACAGGCTTTCTTAATAACATGCAGACTGTTTATGACATCCCTTGATTATGGAACAGTAAATAAAAAAGTTTACATAATGCTCAAATCCTGTACAACTTTTTTCTTCTTACTTAATATCTTGGGCAGCAAGGTACTTTTTTTTTTTCATATTTCAACATTTTAAACAGCTGCTTTTGCTTTAAGTGTGTTTCTTGCTTTGCTCTTTGTTGAATGCTGTGTGTTTTCTTCTTTTGTCTCCACAGAGACACATTTGTTCTGTGTTTGGTTAACGGAGGATCCAGTTTTGTTGCAGGGTTTGCAATCTTTTCTGTTCTGGGATTTATGTCCTACGAACAAGGACTGCCAATATCAGAAGTGGCAGCTTCTGGTAGGGCATCATTACACAACTTCTGTTATATTTAATGAAGTCATTACACTGTCAGTGGGTTTTATTAATCCACTTTAAAATACGCCCCCCCCCCAAAAAAAAAAACAAAACAAAAAAACAACCAAAATCAAGGCAAAACAAAGCAATGCTAAATGGAAAAGCTGGGCCTGTGTTTTTACTTGGCATGGAAATGGCTTTAATTTAATTTTGGAGACAAAATTCCTGTATTAGCTTCTCTTAGCTAAGCACGGCTAATACAGTAATTCCCCGCCTTTAATCCTGAACAATCCTCCTGACCTTAAACTCTTTCCAATGAAATAAATGAATGCTATCAGGTCATTATGCCTAACAGTAGGATGTTGCAAGAATTTGTGAGTCCAGATTTAAAACATTTAGAGTTCTGTAACTAAAATATAAATTGGGAGAAGGCTGCAGTAAGCAGTTTTATCCAAAAATATTTAAGTTGCCATCAATGACTGAAAATATTTCTGAACAGGACCTGGCTTGGCATTTATTGCCTATCCGCGCGCGGTAGCCATGATGCCTTTACCTCAATTATGGGCTATATGTTTCTTCATCATGGTCATCTTGTTGGGGGCAGATACACAGGTTTGCTTTAAGCCAATAGAAATCCTGTTTATTTTTCACCACTGTACATGTTTGGTTCTTAGTAAATGTGTTTGATTTGTCTGCGTCTTTTGCAGTTTGTGAGTTTGGAGTGTTTGATGACCTCAGTGACGGATATGTTCCCCAATGTGTTTCGAAGAGCTTATCGTCGAGAATTGCTGCTGCTCTGCCTCTGCTCTGTTTGCTTTTTTCTCGGCCTCCTCCTCGTCACCGAGGTGAGAGCTCTGATTAACTTTCCCACAAGTCTTTACACTACCCTCAGTAGGGTGTAAAAATGGACCAGTGCTCATTACTCTTAACTTACTTCTTTCTAGGCAAAACTGAATTTGCATGCATGCATTTGTTGTCTTTATCTTTGATTAGCTATACCAATTAACCTCTCTGTCTTCCTGCAGGGCGGCTTGTATTTCCTTCAACTCTTTGATCATTATGTGTGTAGTGGAAACAATCTTCTCCTTCTTTCTGTGTGTCAGTCGATAGCGATTGGATGGATATATGGTGAGTCATTAAAATCCGAGAGTCAAATCCTTGCATGTTTGCACAGATCTGGCTAAGAAAGCTGATTCAAATCCTGCTAATCCCACATTAATTGAAAATACACTTAAGACTGCTTTTATTGAGTCGCTTATTACTAAAAGGCCAAAATTTAGGCTTACTGTATAGGCGTTCATTCCAGCTATTCTGAATCTTGCTCAGCTGGGGTCACAAGAATAAGCCGTGTCTTGTGGGTACTGGCTCAGCACCACTTTACCAGCAGCTTCACTTTTTAAACACTTTCTATTGAGGTGGAGTTTTCCCTTCAGGCCCAGTCCAACAGCACAATTATGTGAAGTTAGTGTTAAAAAAAAAGCTCTCAAATTAGTTAGAGGTTAAAATTATGACCACTAACTACTGCATTCTTCCAGAGGCTCATCTAATATTTCCTATATCTCCCTCTTGCTAACTAAGGAATTCGTTAAATCAGTGGTTCTCAAATTGTGAAACAGAGTGACAGGTGGGGTTCTCACCTTTTGTTTATGTACTCATGTTGAAATGTTGTTGTAGATGCTTTGCTCTTTTTATTTTTAGCTTTTTTAGCAAATGTTTGGACATTTGCCTTGTGAAAAAAACTGCTTGTATTTACTGCCACTGGCTGAAACATAAGCTGAAGGCATAATGGATCCATCCTACTGCTTAACAGCTGACATGTGTTGTGGCTAGAAAGTTCTGCTTTAACTTCATGTACCCATAGGACTTTCTCCGTTTAGCCTAATTTAGATATACAAACTTGCAAACCTCTGATGCTGAATTTAGTGTCGATTATGCATAAAAGTCTTGTGGTTTGGCAGGTGTTGCTAGAGGTTAGGTTTTCTTTCACACATCAACTTCCTTTTAACTACCATTTGTTAATAGTGTTGCAAACTAAAGATACCTGGAAATCCGTCCTATAGCTTTTTCCTACTTTCCTTGCATCATTTGTCTTAATATTAAAAATACTAAGGAGCTACTTAGATGAGCCAGTGGCTGCTGATTGATTGGCTGATGTGGAACTTGTAACCTTGGTAATCATCTGAGAGATCAAGCTAAGCTTGCCTAAACCTTTGCATGGTTTGGTTAGCTCTAAAATTGTACAAGATGTGTACAGTGTGCCCGTTATTTACTAGAAGCAATGGCCTGAAACATTTCTATTCATGTGATGGAAGAAACTGATGCTTAAAGATAATGTGCGGGATAGTGCTGAGGTTATTTAGACTGGAGAAGATGTGGTCATATTTTGTATGTTCAAAAAAATTTATATGCAGACCTTCATTTTACTGTTTTTCTTTGTGCTTTAACTAAATGTGTCATTTTCAAATGCATTTAGTGTTCCTTATGTGTGTACTTTGTGGCACCAAATCAGCTGAAAGTAGTGATTCTTTGAATGTGAATGAACGCAAAAGATCTAAAGAACACTAAACATTCAACTATAACAACACATCTGCAATGCATGAACAAAGCTTTATGGACCACCTCACAGTGTTTCCTGGTTAGGATGAGAAAAACACTTGGTGTGTGAAGCGGTGATGTCAGCTGATATCTTCATTCATATCTAAGTGTAAATATTGTTATTAAACTCTTTGTGAGACGGTGATGCTCAACTAGGACCGAACCACTGGCACCATGGTGTCAATAATCATAATGTGTCAGATAAATTGGCAAATACTGATTGCACGACTGTTAAAAATCAATTGTCATCTACTGACATCGTACAGCTATCTTATTTAGGAACAGTGATGGGAATAACGGCGTTACAAGTAACGGCGTTTCTAACGGCATTACTTTTTTCAGTAACGAGTAATCTAACGGTAATCACGGTCACTGTCTTGCACAACACCTGGAGCTAAGGAGGCAAAACAATCGCATGAGTGCTGCTGTTTGACTGAGGAAGAATAAAGTAGTCGTGGTAAGCCAATCACATGACCACTTCAACATGACAAAGCAACAAGGTGATATATACCAGTTTGTAAATTGTGTTGATAGGCCACGTAAAATCAGAGTCATGATAAACAATATATAGGCGGCGTTTTTTCCTCAATAGTTTTGTCACGTTTACTGTATAAGGACAGCGCTAGCAAGCACTCTCTGCTTATGAGCAAAACAAACAAACAAACAAACAAACAAACAGGGGAAGTTTTAGGAGTGATGGTGAGAGAGAGAGAGAGAGAGAGAGAGAGACAGCAGAAAAAGAGAGAGAGCGAGTTTTGAGACGTGAGAGATTTGTGAATTTAGCGTGTTTGGAGTGTGTAGTTAATGTGTTGTCTTGTGTAGTTA